TCCGAACCTCGAGCTGCCTAGCCGTGGCACATGTTCCGTCCGCATGGGCTGAATGACATGCTTTCTCCGCCTCTGCCATTTCAGTGACCCCTCCTCCCTTGAAAACGAGGCCCCAGTTCTTCGAAGCCGTTCATGAGGTCCTCGCTCCCTGGTCTGGCCCCAGCTAATCTCCAGCTCAGTGGCTCTTCACTGGGGCACTTCTACCCCCAGAAGACCCCCGGAGACCGCTGGATGGCGATAACTGGCTTGTGGTGGGCAGAGGCCAAGGGTGCTGCCCCACCTCCTGCGTGATGGATGGAATTTCCCGGTCTAAGGTGCTAGTAGAGCTTCGGAGGAGAGTCTGGCCGTGGCCGAGGACCCCTGCTGACGGAAAGCTCTGGTCACGTCAGAGCCATGTCCGCTCTGCGCTGAGCCTTGTACTCACAGATTCCCTGGCCTGGACCAGCCTGTCTGTCTCCACCCCGCCCCTCTTCTCCGTGGGCAGTGCTCTGTCCAGGTAGCATCTTGGTACAAAGTCATCTATTTAAGCAGTTTCTACCTCAGATTGAAAGTGCCTTCTACATAAGACTGTTTTCCTGTTTATTTATTGTTAGATGAAGCTCTTGTTACAAAAGACTCCAGTGTGGGTTTTATTGTGTAGGCAGTCGGGGAGAATAGCTGGAATGGATAAAAGGGCACCTCTGCAGTCATAGCTTGTAGCCGTAAAGTGAAAGTCTCTCTAAGTACATACTAATGGAACTTATTTATTGAGCCACATTGGGATGTCTGCCCACCCCCTAATGCTTAAAAGGCGCCCAAGTGGCATAGTGGCTATGTGTGATCCGCAAGGTCCAGAGTTCAAACCCACCGACTGCTCCGTAGGAGAAAGACGGAGCTTTCTGCTCCTGTGGAGAGTGAACGTCTCCGAGAACACAGGGCGGGGGTTCTGCCAGGCCCTGCCTGCACCGGCTCCATGGCAGTGCGCTTGGCTGTGAGTGGTTAACACAAGTGCAGCACGAACGTTGTAAGGAATGACTCTAGACCGAAAATGAGACTTGGGTATCCGTTTTCAGTGATCAGCATACCAAGCCCTGGCCTAATATTTAAGAACCAACGACTGGTTGTTGATCTCAGGGTTCTTTTCTGATTGACACTCTATCCTTAGCATATGTCCATTTTCTTTCTTTTAAGATCATTTTATTGGGAGCTCTTAAAGCTCTTATAACATTCCATATATCAATTGTATTAAGCACCTTTGTACAGATGTTGCCATCACATTTTCTAAACATTTTCTTAACGTTTGAGCCCTTGGTATCAGCTCTTTTTTTTTTCTCCCTCCCTCCCCCACTCCAAAATTGGGCCCTGCATCCCCAGGAAGCCACCCTCAAAGGAAGCCCCCTCAAGGCACTGGGATTTGCGAAGATCCCACCCAAGGATTTGAAAGCTGTCACGATCAGTATCTCTGATGAACAAGAGAACCGCAGCCTACTGATCTCTTACAACTACAATTCCTGTCTTATGATAGATCACAAGGAAGCCCTTTAAATACCAGTGCCGCGCCCTGCTCTGAGTTTCAGACGGCCCAGGCTGCCCACGAACCCTGCACCCATGGCAGCCGCCTTTTTTCCCCACCCCCTTGCAAATCAAGAATTCAGTGCCTCACTCCTTTAAAAGCTTTCCAAAGAGCAAAACACCTCAAATACGTTAAAGGATAAAACTGGTCTCTGTTGTTATGTGTTTCCTTGCATGTCTAGCATCACAGATTTATTTCCGAATGTGACCAGATTTTAAAAATACAGCTTGGTTTTGTGGCTTAACTCAGTAAAGCTGGGTACTGGTTTCATAAATAGATAAGAAATCTCTGCGCTTATCTACCGTTTCATCTGAAATTGATGCACCAGCTTTGCGAGGAACCCCCACGGGCACCTGCCGTTTGACTCAGCCCTCTTCCCAGAAGTCTCTCCAGGGGGCGCTCCAGCCCGGCCTTCCCTCCATCCTCCAGTCTGACTCAGGGCGACCCACGTTACCAAGCAGAGCTGCCCCCAGGCCCTCCATGGCAATCGCCTGTACAGAAGCAGAGGGCCAGGGCTCGAGTGGCCAGTACAATCCAGCCGCACCACCCAGCGACCGGACACTCCTCCTGAGCTGTACCCCTTTCTCTTGTTAGGGCTCGCTCTCTTCTGCCACCCTTCCCGAATCCCTGCGTGTGCCCGGCTCTGTTCTTGGGACACGCTGGGGAGCCAAAGGAGGGTGTCTTTCAGGTCGTGTTGTTGCTGTCAGGTACCCTCGAGGCCATTCAGACTGGCAGCGGCCCCTTGTGCCACAGAACAGAACCCTCCCCGGGCCTGCACCAGCCCGACAGTCATGATGTTTAAGCCCATGGTTGCAGCTGTGGAGGTCCTCTCCCTTGCCCAGCATGAGGCCCTTCTCCGGGGACTGGTGCTTCCTGATGACATGTGACCTCCTGTGTGCACTCTACTGGTCTAACTTTCTCAGCCCTCTGAACTAGAGCGCACATAGGAGGTCACCTTCCTGTGCTCAGAGATACTCGCCGCCTGCATTTTGAATCCAGAACTTGAGGCGGGGTTTCAACTCCGAGGGAGTAACGCCCCCTCAGACAGGGGCCTCTGGGAGGTGGCGGTGGCGGTTGGGAGGACCATGCATCTCTCCATCCCAGCACTCCCCCTCTCGAGGCTTAGTGTGAAGAGCATGCTGCGGTGTGTGGAGAGTTTGTATTGTAGAGACTACTCTCACCACCACCACCCCCTCCTCAAATGGATTGAGTGTAGCTAAGGGGGGAACGGAAGAGGCAGCTATCAGAGATTGTATTTCTGAAGAGGTTCAGACTGTAGAAAGATGGCACTAGAAAGAAGCCATCCAGCTCAAAGCCTGCGTGCCCTTGAGTTCCCTCCAGAACACGTATCTTGAAACCCACCTCCACGCGTCCGAGGGGCCAGTCTGGCAGAAGGGAGGAAGAGCCTCAGGTGAAGGCTTGTCAACCAGGGCTGCATCAAAGAAGCCCCAGTTATCGGATTAAATATGAAAGGAGTCTCTGAACTGTCGACTACTATTAAATAAAGATGACTGTTTTTTTAGCTCGTTTCTCATCTGACAGATAGCTGCCATGAATCTACTGCTAGTGCTGAGAAAGCACAGGCATGTGCTGCCTTCGCTGGTTTGCATGTCACGGAGCTTGTCCCTCGGTCATGTATGTGGGACACGGCCAGAGCTGCCAGCTGACGCCCTTCCCCCAGCCTCCTAGCCCAGCCCCCAGCCCAGCTCAGTGGCTCCTCTACCTGGCCAGGACGCAGGCGTCAGCATTCTCAGACGGAGCTTTTTGCCACGAGTGAGGTGCTGGAGAGGCCACTCCAGGGCCTGGCTTCCACGGAAAGGTGGATAGAATGGGCCTCCTCTTTTCAGTTGGCATCTGTAGCGTAGTGTAAGGAGCCCTGAGGGTGCCGTGAGTGAAGCGTGGGTCAGCCAACTTCAAGGTCAACAGTTCAAACCCACTGGCCGGCTCTGCAGAAAAATGAAGCTTCCAGCTTCCCTAAAAAAACTTACATCCTCAGAAATCCTAGATTGAGGGTCACTGAGTTGGAACCAATTTGTGGGGGACCAACCTCCACAACCGAACAGGTCCTAGGGGATGGTTGTGTGGTTGAGGTATAAAGTAAAGCCACCACAGACAAGGCATGCAAGTGCTCACCTCTCCCATGGCGACCAGAGCCAGAGTTAGAGGAGAGTGTGTTCTCTAGCAAGCTTCTATAATCTCGGGCGTGCAAGCCACGTCACATACATACTGACCAGGAAGGGGGTGCACCAGAGGCATCCCAGTAACAGGAGGGGGATTGAGGTAGGGGTAAGCACGCAATAGGAAGGAGGTACTAGACCAGAGGCATACATGTGACAGGAAGGGACACATCAATCAGGTTGGGCGGCTCTAGAGTTGCGATGGTGGGCTAACCTTAGTCGGCTCTGAGCTGGCTTGACCGTAAATGCCGTGAGCTCTTCCCCAGGGGCACAGTCTATGATCTGTATCAGAAGGGAGGGGCAGACTTAGGGTGGGACAGACAACAGGGTCTGATGGTCTCGCTGGCAGACAACCTTCAATTGTGTATAGTAGCAACTATGGGCTTGCCAGCAGCACCTTAAACTTGACATTATTCTGTGAGAACATTGTGGGGGGAAACTTACTCGGGAGAATGTGACTGGGCTGCATCTCTAACCGTGAACATTGGGGCCTCCCTCCACCAGAGAGTTCTTAAATAGGAGCGCAGAGGATTTGTCTGCATACGCTCTCTGCCCCATATCGCCGCAATGGCAGGGAATTGGGGATTGTTGCAAATAGCTGCATTTAATGGGTTTGTTGGCCTATGTATTTCATCAGCTAGCACGTTTCTGTTCCCTTGGGTAGCAACTTGGTGGGGCAGGTCAGAGTGGAGTGGAAGACGGTCAAGCGTGTTCCAGCTTTGATTCCAACTGTCTGGCTTGAGTGTTTTTAAAATTTTTTCCATTTCAGATAGATAGTCATGTTACTCGAAGGTCCTTCACTCCCTTCCTGTTTTGGAAGGACCACAGTCCACCCCAGACCATCCTCCAGCAGCCGCAGCCTCTCCGCTCAGAGGCTCCACGGTGCCTGGGGGGCTACTCCTGGCGACTTCCCACAGCCCTGAGCCAAGGTCACTGTGGGATGAGCTTTGGGTCCTTCCAGGTGGATACCACATGCTACACACCACCCCTTTGTGTGCTCCGGAAGGCCAGCCGCGGGCACCTTGCTCTTCCTGGTGGGATCAGAGTTTAGAGGCCAGGTGACATCCATGTAGGCATTTTCACTTGATTTACCTACTAAAGATAGAAAGCAAATCATTCCAAGGCTTGGCATGCAGGGGACGCCACTCTGCTCTCCGCCCGAGAGCGGTGGGCCGTCTCAGCCCCCCCGCAAGTTGTCAGTCTCTAATAACCTTGGCCGTTTCCCCGTCTTTGAAAAGTGTTAACTGAGTTTCTTCTTTTCCTTTTTCTAGATGAAAGACTTTCGCAGTAAAATGCAATCGTTATTCCCAACAATTCCCAAGAACCCCGAGTCGGCTGCTGCGGAGTGGGAGGAGGCCTGGAAATCCAAATGAGACGGGCCAGGAGGACCTTGGACAGGGTGTCCCAGGACAGGGGACCCCAGAGAGACGGCGCCTCGGGGACGTGCGGGGCTCGGCTGCTCCTCGGGGTCTTCATCACACGCAGGGACTTGAAAATGGATTTGCCTGTGTCAGGTTAAAAACAATCCTTCTAGAGAGGTGTTTGCTCTGTGATGAGACTCCGGGTCAGGCTTCTGTTCTCGGCTGTTGTTGCTGAAACACTATGTGACCGTGGAGAAAGAAAAATACCCGTCCGATGGAGAATCTTTATAAAAGGACACACGTACCTCAACTTGTCCGAGAAATGAGGCTCAAGAGCTTTCCTTATAACCTTGTGACTTTCAGAATGTGGAGGGCTTACTCCAGTTAGGGAGCCCTGGTAGTGCAGCAGCTAAAGCACTCCACTGCGAACAGCACAGAGGGAGGTTGGGACTCGCTGGCCGCTCCCCTTGAGAAAGACATGGTGGTGGACTTCCCTAAAGACACAGCACTGTCGCCTGCGAGCAGCCCCGCCCCACCTGTGGGTCCGTGAGTCAGCTGGCTCCTGGCAGTGGCTTTGGTTTGGGTTGGCTCCTATTCACAGACAGGAGACAGGCAAATCGAGAGCTTCAGGAAGTGGGCAGCGCTCTACAATCTTGCCCATGACCTTCTATTTGCAGCTAGATCTAGCTGTCACCCACTGGCCTGACCCTCAGGCCCAGGGAATTCTTACACCGAGACCAGGAAGCCAGTAACAGACCCTGGTCACGTGACAAGAACTACTGCAGGGTAAGGTTGGTGTCGAGATAAAATGCCCTGTATAAAGAAGCTGGTTCTGAGCCCCTGAACACTGAATGACAAGTTTATAGTTTTGTCTTAGCTATGCCTCCCCTGGCAAAAAAACCCAGAAAAACTCACTGCCCTCCAGCCCATGCCGACTCACGGCGACCCTATAGGACAGGGTGAGATGCCCTCCAGCCCATAGCGACCCTATAGGACAGGGTGGGACTGCCCTCCAGCCCATGCCGACTCACAGCGA